GGACCGCTTCGCGCGGCCCGACTTCAAGGACATCTCCAAATGGAACAACAGGGTGGTCAGCAACCTCCTCTACTACCAGACCAACTACCTGATGGTGGCCGCCACCGTCGTCTCCATCGTGGGGTCAGTGGGGCCGCGGGCGCTGAGGGGAAGCGGGGACTTCGCGGGGTCTCGAGGGGACCTCGTGGGGTTTAAGGGCGATGGGGTGTCCAAGGGGACCTCGTGAGGGGTCTAAGGAGGATGGCGGGTTCGGGGGAGGGGGCTTTTTGCCATCCTCCTCACGGGGAGTGTGCTGAGAGCAACGCCCTGCTTGTGCTTTTATTTATTTATTTATTCTTTCCCTCTTCCCCCCCTCCCCCCTCCTGTTTCTGGATTACTGAGCATATCTACCAGGCTTTAGGGTATTTTTTTTGTTTATTTTATTTTTTTTGTTTTTCGGGGTGGGGGGAGGGAGATGCTAACAGATCTGACAACAATCTTCCCTTAAGGCTGCTCAGGAGGGCTGCAGACACGGAGGGTTTTGCTTTGCTTGGTTATTGTTACTGTTTATTTCCATCGATTCTTTTCATCAATTCCGAAGGGAAGGCGTAGGCGGTGGCGGGATGTCGCTGCCTTCTGAGAAGCTAAAGAGCATCATCCTCCGCAGGGGCCTGACGTTCCCTGCTTAAACCTGCCGCTGGGCACGCAGAGACAGACTGCGCTCCGAATCAAAACAGGGGCGTTTTGATCTTATAGCTTTTTAGTTACCTAAAGGAGACAGTCAGCTTCTTTTACTCCTGTCCTAACTTATGCTGGAGAGCCTTAAGTATAAAATATATTAGGTAACCTACTCATGCTGGTAGTTTTCTTTCACCAGGCCCAGTTTTCCTGAAGAGAATTGGGAAATAGCTTTTTAACCTCCTTTTGAATTACTTCAGCTACATGAATTGACGTTTATTTATTTATTTACTTATTTATTCTGACCCAGCATCTTAAGCAAGAGATGCAGCAGAAGTTGTGATGATTAAGTTTTTAATATGGGTGTAGGAATACATTTCCTTTGCTCTCCACAATGGGCAAATGCTTAAATTGGAGGATTGCCCAGGCACTGGGCTGAAGTGGCTTTGGCAGCAGAGTGTCTTGTCTGTTGCAAAGGCTTAAAATTCTTCTTCTAAATCAGATTTTTTATTGTTTTTATTAAGCAAGTTGTATCTAGTTGGGGTTTTTGAAGTGATTAACCCAGGCTCTGAGTTAAGATACCTTAGGTTGCAGAGAGTTTTGGACTATGTTTTGTGAAAGGGCCCCTAAATACTGCATTTTCTTCCTGTTTTTGGTGGAGTATTGTGTACTCAACTTGTTAGACTGGCAAAAAGTGACTTCTCTTGGCATTCTTGTGCTGCTGTGGTTAAATTCCTGTGTTCATCAGCCCTCGTTTAGCAGCGTGGTGTTGTGCCAGGTCTAAATGACTAGGCAAATCAAAGTGGAAAGGAAAGCAAGGAAAAAGAGAGATGGGGAGGAGGAGGGAGGAGAGTTTTGATATCCCTGGCTGGAAAACTGAAATGGCAACAACTCTTAATTTCCTAAATCCCTTTCCCCTTCTGTGCTCTCACTTCTCCTATTCAGATCAAGTGTGATACCTCTGCCACCTACTTCAGATTCAATATTTCTATCTCGCTTGGAGCGAGGGAGGGAAAGGAAGGAGGAAGGGACTCACAGATCACAATATGAGAGCAACTAGTTCTTACTTTTGAGTGGTGACCCACCGAGCTAAAAATTCTGGACAAGGACAGATGGATTGGGATTTTAATGTTTTGTTTTATTTTATTTTTATTGTACCTCTTGTAGACCTTGATCTATGGCAAATTTGGTTCTTCTAACCTTGAGGTAAAAGGGAAAGGGTGAAGAACTCTGAAGGCATCAGTGTAACTCTTCATTTGAGGAAAAACTATCCACGTCTAGTAAACAGTTTCCACTTGGCAACTTTGTAGCTTTGTGAGAAAGGCAAAGAAAGTTCTCCCGGTAAATTTATATTGATGACTAAGTGGCAATCTTGTTTCATTCTGTCCTGCACAGGAATCCCCTAGTGATACGTGATGAATCATGGCTTTTTAGGAACTCCAGAGCACCATGCAGGCCTGGGGGCAGGACTGTGCAAACAGCCAATGCAGGGGTCATTCTGTGATCAAAACTAAACTCAGCTCACAACCAACTCTACCTGCTCCTACACCATCTAATCAGAAAGCCAGGTGTGCAATGCAGAGACAACAACACTTAAGCTATGGTTTCCATTTACCCCCTCTTATACCCACAAAAAAGCAGACTCTCCAGCCTGTCACCATTTCTTTACAGGGTATGGAGTAACCTTACCATGCACATAGTGGAATCTACTGTGTGGTTCCCTTGTCCCCTCCTCCAGCCGCTTTCTCTGATAGCTACTGTTATATGTAAATGATGTTCAGTGCTTGGCCGTCACGTATCTTGTTTTCATCCTAGGGAAGGAAGCAGGGAATAATAATACTGTGAGCAAGGAACTAAAACTATCTAATGAGTGCTAATCTACTTAAAAAGGCTAGTGACAGCAGCCTGGTCTCCTTGCTTCCTAAAAAAAATTATTAAGAATGAGTAAGGACTTGTGTGCTCAATTTTACTGTGGCTCTGTTGCAGCTGAAGGAGAGAGAAAAAAAAAATCCTAAATAAAGCTGTGTCCCTTCTACCAAATGTAGGGACACTGGGGATTGCAGCCCCTTCTTGCCAGGAGGCAGAACCTTGTCATTGTGAGTGATTTACTGTTTTCTGTGGGTTTTTTGTTTGGTTGGTGTATTTTAAAAGCAGTGCCTCCTGCACTGTTCTCCCTACCTAAAACTACCAGTGTATTTAACAGATGTCATTTGTCTTTGCTCTCACCCACTCTTAAGCAACTTCTCTGTCTTGATGTTCAGACTACTTGAATTCATGTTTTTATGCTGTTATTGCCAGGTGGTTGCCAGAGATTAGTTTTAATCTGATAGTATGCAAAAAGTGTGACGGATTCCAGAGTGCCTCATACGAGAGACTCCTCATCCTCATGTGACTTAGCACCGCTCAGCAGCCCCAACTCCCCTCTGCCCTGAACATCTGCTGCCCTCCCTGCCAGCAGCCAGCAAGGGGCTGTCTCCCCACACCTCCACTTTAGCTGACTGACTTGCTGTGGAGAGTCCCCTTGCCACATCAGAGACTCCAGGACAGCAAAACGCTTAGTTTTCCTAATGCCTAATGAAAGACTACGAAGGAGTGAGCAATGCACAGTGCTCCAAAACATATGTTGCATACTATAGAACTGGCAATTTGGCAGAAAGGCATCTGGCTCCTGTTCTCAAAGCAACACAAATGAAAGGCAGTAAGTAAAGAAGCATTGCTAACTATTTAGATGCTGAGGGCTATCACCTGGCTATGACCAGACTTGTTACAATGTGCATTCATATTATTTACAGCTATATCACCTCACTGGAGTGAGGACAGAACTTCGATTCACAACTTGTTCTGTACTGCAATGTCACTAAATTAATTAATGAACTTAAACTTAAATAATCACACTGAGCCGATATTCCAAAGTGGAAATATTTAAGGATGTGTATAACTTGTTCTTGCTTTGTACATAGACTGTCCTTTTTCTCAGCTCATGTTGCCAGAAACTTTTTGTCTTGCCCCATTTTCCTATGCTATAGTCATATCTTCTTAAAATAAAACAACAATCTCTTCTGCTATGTATGCACACTTATATGCAGATCTACAAAATAATCTACCAAAAACAGTGTGGTAAGTCACTAAAAATCTAGGTTTGGGAATTTTCCTCTAAGCTGTTCTGTGAAACATGTAGGGTAGAGTCTGGCAATGTGAATCTGTGTGTGAGGCACTAACTCATCTCAAAATATTTTTGCTGGTCAGAGATATCTGCTTAGCTGCCAGTGCTTCCTCCCACACAGCTACGCTCCGAGCTGCAGGGATCTCTGCTCTTCTTGGATACTGCCCCAACAAATACTGGGAGCCACACTGCACAGGACAGTGTCTGTGACCCTGCTGCCCTTCATCAGCCTGAAGCCAGGCAAATTGCTTTCCTGTTGTTATATATATTTTTTCTCTCTTTTCTTTGTATGGAAGCAGATGCTGAGGCAAGTGCAGTCTCTGAAGGGCAGCAGCAGCAAACTGCAAGTGGCTGCTGTAGCCCTGAGAAAAAGCTGTAGGTGATGGTCCCCCCTAATCAGTGTGTCCTAGCTGTAGTGCAGGCTGCAGCATCCTATTTTGGTTGTTTCTGCTTACCCCAGAGAGCAATGCAGCATCCAGAAAGGCTGTGCCATCTGTTCTGGGCTCTTGTCACCTCTACGTGGAGTTTAGTCCTGCTGTTTTGGCTTCTTTTAGGGTAGCAAGAACCAGTTGTCCGTCTTCCAACTTCCCTTTGGGCTTTTTTCCCTTCAAGTCATCTGAGCAGCATGAACTCAAGTTACCACAACACTGCCATGCTTCTAGGTCTGTGTGTTACTTATTTAAATACTTGAGAGGTCCAATAAATCCTTCCTAAATAAAATTACATTTAGAGAGTAGCTTGTAACATAATTAATGGCTGGTCACTTACTTTGTCTCTGCAGCTTTGAAAGACTTCCATCCTTCTTGTTTGAGCATGAACGTAACTTATGCTTTTTATCTGGATATAAATATCAGTATTAATAGTTCATTTATAAGGTGATTTCTAGGACTTCTTGTGCAGCACTGCTTTCCCCAGACACTGATATTCTGAAGTAATTTGCTTCTGTTTTTTCTTTCTAGTGCTTAGCTATTGTGCTGCTGCACAATATCTGGCTAAATGGATAATGAAGGTTTTGCCTTCCTTTCAAATGCCATTGGCAGAGAAGAAGTTCTTATAGAGTAATATTTGTTTAAATCTTTGGTAGCACTGTGAATTACACTGCATCTGTGGGCAATTCAAGAAGCAAAGGAGAGCCTGGCATATGAAACACTATCCAGTTACTGTATTCAGGAGCCCTTGAGTCTGTGGACACATGGCTAATAATCCAAATACCAATTCCCAGTGGCAACTGCTATCCCCATCTGTTCTCATGTGGTTCTGAATAACCTCATTTCATACTTACGTTCACTGTTTCTTTGTATGCGTTGGAATGCAGCCCACTTCAGAAAACATGTAATTCAATTAACTTTACCCGGGAAAGTGGAATCCTTTGAATTTGTGTGTGTGTGGGAGGAGTGTGTTGTAGTTTCCCCTATGGGTCCCTTACAGCCAGCCAGCAGTGCAGAACCTGTGACCATAGAGCAGATCAGTCTCCAGCCCTTTGATTTCAAACCCAGGAATGTTGCACTTTTCCATCAGATTCTGAATTCTGCAGTAGAGAATGGGTGGAGAAGACAGAACTTGGAGAGGAAAACATGGCAGAGGGGAACTTTGCCCTACCCTTCATTCCATCCAGGATGATCTTGTCGGATCTGGGGCATGAGAAACGGAGCTGCTGCAAGTTGTCTGAGTTTGGCTACTTCTATTCAAAACTAGCTGGGAAGTGGAGATGACTCCTGTCTCAATCTTGTACATGTGGTAGTATTTAGATAAACCAGACACCAGTGTAGTCCAGTCATGGGTCACCTCTTCCTGCTGCAGGGGAGTGTGGATGAAACCAGCTTCTTTCCAGAGCAAAGCTGTTCACTTTTTCCAGCCTGGAAACTTAAGATTGACAGTTCAGAGCTAAATATAACCTGGCTGGCGGCAGGGAGTGACTCAGATGCGACGAGCAGGGCTGCCCTATCACCATTTCCCCAAGGCCGTCCTGGCGCTCCAGCATGAGTAGCAGAAGCAGGTGGGGATCCAGCTTGAATTTTAATCTATTTCCATCCTGTTGTCCTGTCTTCTGTTGGCACAACCAACTTAACGAATCAAGAGGCCATCTCTATTTTAAAATAATTCTCTCCCTTCTCTGGGAGAGCACTTTCTGGCAGGGCTGGTGTCTGCTTACCAGCCCAAGGACAGATTTCATCTGCTTCTGCAGGATGTCAAGCAGAGACCACAAACCATAGCATCCTTTTCAGCAGTGTTGCAGAGCAATGACTCATTTTTATCTGCTAGCTTTGGAAAAGACCAGTTCTAAAGCCTAAAAGAGTAAATCTTGACATTTGGCTTTGTCTGAGCAGCATTATACCACTGTGATAGTTGCAGCATCTCAGAGCATAACTGCAACAATATGGTTAGATCAGCACACATACAAGTGCATAAATCCATTCTCATGAAGTCACAAGGCTTATTAATATATAACTGAAATAGCGGAGCCTGGGTTTTGTGCAAAGTATGTGAACGAGCTAAGAGAAGTCACAGCTGAAAACTAAGGACAAAACAACCTCTGAAATACTTGGGAAAGTGCTTTGAGCATGTGAAGTTCTTACCCTGGTCCAAAAAAAGGGACACATGCTGCTGATAGTCCAAAGCTATTCCCACCCAGTGGCTGGGTTTACTTGGTAACTCTCACAGCAACAACAGAACACAAACCTCAGCAGTGGCCCTCTTGCCAAGCCTGGCTCTTCTCGTGCTTCCTGTGAGATATTTACCCTGTTCCCCCTAATCCTTGAGCAGGGTATAAATAGGTATAGACACCGAAGAGGAATCACTCGGAACAGCAAAGTGGAAGTTAAAGAAATAAGAGGTGAAAGTCCATGTTCTAACCCTTGTTCTCAATCATTATCTCCTGGAATTATAATTGTTGGGAAAACCTTCCCTACTCTCTGCTGTTGGGATTTGCCAACTCTGCGTCAGAAGTCAAGCGAGTGCATTGAGCAGAAGCAAGAGTTCTGATGGCAAAGGTGCTACAGGAACTCATCCCAAGCTATGCTCACAGAGAAAACAAATAACCAAGGTACTCAAACATACCTTTTTTGTTTGTTTGTTTCCTCTTTCTCTCTCCAGATTCCTGAGCCCCCTGAACATGCTTATTGGTGGCACTGTGGTGGTTCTGGTGTTCATGGGCTTCGTGTGGATGTCGCACAACAAGGACATACTCCGCAAGCTGAAGAAGCAGTACCCAACCACCTTTGTAGTGGCCATTATGCTGTCCAGCTACTTCCTGATCTCCTACCTGGGAGATGTCATGGTGTTCATGTTTGGGATCACTCTTCCTCTGCTCCGTAAGTGCTTTTAGCTTCTCTGCAGGGGCTGGGGAGCAGGAGACTTGAGCCTTCCCAAGCCTGAAAAGTCTAAATTTGCTCTTGGTTTTGCTGTCTCCTTACCTAAATTTCCCCCACCACCACCAAAAAATGGGGGAGAGGAGAAGGGAAAGGGAAAACACAGAACAGCACAAACTATTTTAAATGATAGAACGGTTTCAGAGATAAGTAAAGAATATTAAATGGGTACTTACAGTTATTTAAGTCATCATTTGGACTTCAGCTTCTTCAAATTACATTGTAACCTTTGAAATTGTCTTAAGGTGGATGCTGTAAGAATTACATACTGATTGAGCATTAACAATTAAACGGTGCTTTTCTATTATGCAGTGATGTTTGTCCATGCTTCCCTGAGGCTCCGGAACATAAAGAACAAACTGGAGAACAAAATGGAAGGAATTGGTTTGAAGAAGACCCCTATGGGCATCATACTGGATGCTCTAGAACAACAGGAGGAAAGCATCAACAAACTGGCTGACTACATATCTAAAGTGAAGGAATAAACAACTGTAACATGGCATTTTTTCCTGTTGCAGGAGTGTAGTTGCTATTTACTATTGTTCACGCTTGCTTTCAGTTGGTGTACAAAGCAGGGAATGCACATGTGGCACAGATTAATACTTGCAGGATACAGGTATTCAGGGCTCCTCTAAGAATAAGGAGAGTAACTTTTCTATTGTATAGCAAAATGTTTTGGTGTTTACACAAATACATACTAACTTAAACCTATTTGCTTGTCTCTTCTTGCTGGGGGGGAAGGGGCAAGAGATGGAATCCCTGTGGAACGCAGTCTTTCCGAATGTCTTTGTAGTAGACTTGTCTGTTAATAAGAGGAATGTCCCTTTTGTTCCCATGCTCTGCAATGACAGTTCAGCCAGTTTATTACGCCATGCAGCACCTTTAAGCTGGCAAACCCCAAGGGGAGCTGGAATGTATCAAGTGTAGGCATCTCTTGCATCCCTAAAACCCCTAACTGAAGCAGTCTGGAGCAGGATCACAGTGTTAACTCTAGTGGCAGATGGTGAAACTGCAACTCCTCTCTTGCAATGGTTATGGGCTCTTGATCTCTCACCTCACATTCCTCCTTTAGCAGACTGAAACAGTCTACATAGATTTAAGCATGAACAGAAATGGTAACACACATCTATCATTTCCAGTAAAAGGCACCTTTTTCTCTGAAATCTTGATCCTGTTGATATCTGTAGAAAATGTTTTTGTTCACAGGAGAGCCAGAACTTCTTCTCAGACACCTAAACTACAGCTGAACACAGGAAGAAAGAGCATTTGCAGATAAACTAGACTAGCTATGACTCTACCCTATTGATGTTTTTTAACCACTGCTACTTTAGGACTTAGCTTGTTCTGCTTTAGTCTCTAAGGCTGTTTTGTAGATGAAGGTGTATGTGTGTGTGGTGACTTTGTGCATGGGTCTCTTTTTCATGTTAACCAGAATGCAAAGATGCAAGCTAAAACATACATCTTGCCCTCTCTTTCTGGCACCCTTCAAAGGAAGAAACTGGATTTCAGGTTTACAAGTAAAAGCAATAAATCTCAAGATAAAATTTTGGAAAACCATTCCCAATTTATTAAGATATCTCTGCTTACAACAATTCTTGAAAGTGGTTTAGGGGATTTTTTTTAAAATATATATATTTTAACTGCCAGCTTTGATGGAATTGCCTTGATAATAGGTACCAAAAATAAGTGGGGAAATCTCCAGATGACACTCCATTTCAAATATCCTTGCATTTCTTTTTTCTAATAATAGTTTAATAAATGATAAAGCAAATCTCCTTAAATTTGAGGCTTTTATGCAACTTACCCATGTTGTTTTCATAATGAATTGTGTAGAAATTTGAAAATGTCATTCCATTTAAATGTTATAATGTGATCAGTATTTATTGAAAGTGTCTGTGTATATTCCAGCTAAAGATTCAATTCTTCACTTGTAGCGCATGGTCTTTGTTTTATGAAAACTGTTACCACACCTAGAGAAGGTAAGGTAGTAGCCTATTACTCGATCATACTGTTGAATTTTAAAAACTGCACAGTTATGAAGAAAAATAAACTGTAATGGTGATTACTGAGTGCATTTGTTTCAGGTCATGAGAACAGACCATACCCTGATGTTTGCATGTTCAGTTCCTACTGCTGGTACAGGTGTCTATGGTGTTGATAGAGGTACAGTCATGCTGCAGCTGCTGGCACAAGGTTATGGTTGTGGTGAACCCCTGGTCGAGTGCTCCGAGTTCTGCATGCCATAATTTTGGTGAATGAGAGGCCTCTGTGCTGCAGGAAAGTTACTGCAGAACGTCTGAATCCTCACAAAGGCTTCTCCTCAGCAGCAGAGTATTCGAGCACTTGTTCTTGCTGAATCAGTCTTACATAACAAGGATTTTATTTTAACTAAGGTATTGTTAAGTGCCTTAGAGGTATTTCTCCCTACTTCAGGATTACTGAGAGCCATGGTTTGAATGCAGCTATGACAGTAGCTTTGTGTTGCAGTCAAGCTGCCCGTGTGGTCTCTAGGCCAGGCTCTTTTTGTCCTCTGATTAAGTTCCTGCTCAACAAGACTCTGTATCGAACTAGAGCTTAGCACGGCCTGCTCTAAACACCCTCCAGATACTGGTCAGGGCTGAAGGCTCCGAACAGGCACCGCTTGGGGTGGAGCCATGATTTGTTCTGAGCTGCCTGATTTAGAAATTCTCAAGCATTGCTTGATTTTCACTTCCTTGTCCCACCTGCTACTTCTCAGCTATGCACAGAAGCCAGGAGGGAGAGAGTGCTCTGGCAGTGCCCTGCAGAACTGCCTTTTTGCATTCCGTTCAGACAGAAGCAGCCTAAACCCCAGGTTACTTCCTCTTCTCAAAGGGAGCAGACTGTCCTGTCTTTACAGAAGAGGCCTGTGAGAAGCGGAGGTGAAGTAAAAACACTACTTCTTTTTCACTCTCCCCCTTATACAACACTGTCATGTCTTAAAAATTGCTTGCCGAGTTTTAAACGATTCATCAACCAGGTTGCTGCATGGAAGTGCAGCAGAGAAGGAGCTTTTAGAAGTTTGGAGGCAGATGTTCTAGTGAGGGATTTGAAAGAAACCAGCTTAACAGACACAGAAAGGCCAAGGATAAAAGCTTGAGCTAAAGATAGCAGAGAGGTCTGATAAAACAAGAATGAAAGCAATATAGTGATACCAAGAATGCTGGGGCGGGAAGAGGAGTGCACAATGCACCCTTGGTCCTAAACACGACTGAGCTTTAGCTGCTAGAGGAAGGCAGCTGAGAGGGGTGGAAGGAACAACAAGGAATCACCCACCTGAAGGCAACACACTGCAGAGCTGAGCATGTTAAGAGCACGTGTCAGCTACAAGGTGGCAGGGGATACGCTAAAGGAAAGGCTTTGCTGTGAGAAGGAAGAACACAGAAAACGACATGGTTAGGAGACTACGCAACACAGCTTTAAATTGCTAAAAAAATACATCTTCTGCACATGTATTCCTCAGGGATGTCACTTTTCTATAGCTGCTTTAGAAGGGAGGCTTGCAACAAGAAAATTAAGGCAATTAAAAACGAAAAAACCCCACAATACTAAGCAAAACCAAAGCTACATGGAAGGACTGCAGCTGGTTAAGCCACCATCTCCAGCCCATCTCCCACCATGGCTGGGGGCAAGACGTGCTCTTGGCATCCCCCCTGGGAGGAATACTCAGTTCCTCAAGCTCATGACAGGAAAGGGCATGAGGCCAGTTAGGAAGCCGTGCAGAGAGTGAGGTGCAATAGCACTGAGGTGCCTGCAGTGCAGAGTGGGGAAGAGGATTAAGGGTTACATCAGACAGAGATGCATCAGGAGAAATGAAAATTACAGCTCTCAACAGATCATCTTTCGTACACTGACCGAGTACAATACCAGCTAGAATATGTTCTGCAGTATACATAGCTTGAAACCATCAGGCCTTTGCATTCCACATCCCATGCCTTGAAGTGTTCTCCTTGGCTCTACAGACAGCAGTTCTGCTGTGTAGACCTGTCAGCCATAGAAGTGCTGCACACATCTTACATAGAGAACTTTTATTTCATTTCTGTTTCCTCAGCCTTAAAAATAAAGCTGTTTACACAGAAACCAAATGCGTTTCTCATGGACAGGAGAGTAAAGCAAGGAGCATGTTGTGAAAAGCAGGATAAGATAAAGCACAACATGTTCCTGGAAAGAAAATGTGAACATAGGAGGACAACATGGAAGAGTTGTTTACTGACAAACCACACAGATTTAAGGTTATCGATGCCTCTGAGAAAATAACTCCCACAGCAAACTGGAGCCTCCGGTCCATGGGGCAGACGGACGGCACCGTGATTGTTCAGTAGCTGGTGGAAACCCTTAACATCGACTTCTCCTGTTCCAGCCTTTTTCATCACGCTTACAAAAGTGCCTTTTGCAAGCTTTGTTCCCAAAGAGTCACATACACCACCTGGCTGCTGAAGAAGACATCTGGTGAAAAAATTGTCAGCAAAACTCGCACAGTCCTTATTCCAAGGTGTTTTCTTCAGGTCCGTCTGGTCTGTTACTCCAACTGCTTTGGCAATGGCACCTAGACAAGGAAGATAAAGAAATATTACAAGGAGGAAATTTCCCAGTCCAGCTTAGGCTAACATTTAGGCTAACAAAAACCTCCTGCAATATGGTCAAAAATAAAACAGTTAAGACCCTGAAGGATATCAGGTCAGGAATTTACTTTTGTTTCTATTTCCACGCTCAATATTTGCAGGTTAAAGGATTTGGTTGAATGAAAAAAAGATATCAGTAAGTGCATAGCATTTTATCTTCCTACAAGGTATAATAACAACTGTTGAGAATTGCCCCATTAAAAACAGCTCATGAATCCACCTTTTTATCCTATAGCCTCGTCGCTATGTCAGGATTGCTAACCAGGGGCACCCAGGCTGACAGGGTTTGCAGGGATCTGCCCGGAGGCTGCCAGGAAGCTCTTTACAAAACTTTGCATTTTCTGTAACAGAAAAGGACCAAAACCTCGTACTGAGCCGTCCCATGGGAAACAGCTGTGAGCCATACCCAAGGACACAGAGTTTAAGCTTACTCTGTTTTTTAGATGCGCTGTCTCCCACCCTTTTATCTTCTCCAAATGTCCGTGAACCTCAACAAGCACAAGTGCAAAGTACCAGCTTCTTTATCTCATGAAGAAGTAAATAAATCCGAGCACCTGGCTGACCTCAGGGATTAACAGAGACCAACTGCAAGTGGGCTGAGCCCTGCAGGCTGCCTATGGACACGACTCCCTGCAAACCCTCATCCCTGACCAGCCGAGTCGCAGAGACCTGGGATTTGCCTGGAAACACCTTCTGCTGCTTCCAGGCAGGAGCCACTGGAAAAGAGAAAGGATCCCAGCAACAAACCTGACTGTTATTTATAAAATCCTGCTGGCGTTTTGAGGAGGAGTTAACAAATGGGGACCAGCTGGGATTAGCAACACTGCTCGGTGGCACCTGCTAGCACAGGTTTCCTAATCCTCACCTTGCAAAGGGCTGTGCTCTGCCCGAAGGCAAGAACAGCATCATCTTCCCTTTTCCTGGGAGAAGGGTAGAGGAAAAGAAATAACGCAGCAGCAGTGAGGTTTTCATGGGTGGGAAAGTCCTCTACCCCAATGTGCAAATGCAAACACCTTTTTGGGGTGATCTAGCCAAAAAGCAGCCTTTTGGTTATACATATACAAAAGCAGCTCTTTTTCAGACCCAAAATACAAAATACAAACTGAGGTCTAGAAAGACAGGAAACTGCTCAGAGGCTAAGTCCTGGCTAGCATGCAATTGTTCCTGCCATTAAAAACCCAGACAAAAGAAAAAAAAAAAAGTGATTGGGGGAAGATGGTGGGGTTAAATCCACACAGGGAGGCAGAGGTCCCTGCGGGAGCTGTCCCTTTAAAAGTTACAGGACAAATTTCTCTCTCCAAAATTACAGAGCAGATAATTACCTGTTTTTAGATATAAATGAAAGCAAAATGTGACTCATCATGCAAAAAAGTCAGTATGAAAATGTGAATTATGAAACACAATTTGACCATTTCTATTTATACAAAGGATCTCCTGCCTTCTTTCTCTAGTGTGAGCAACACAACCAGCTATATTGACACCACCCACTTCCAACACATCCATTGGCTTTTTGTATTCCTTGGAGAATGGCACAAGGCAAGGAAATAAAACATTTTAAAAAAGCAAAAGATTACATATGATGGACAACATTTTGAAAAGTGTCTTGTGAGCATCTTAGGGCTGCATTTGAGATGTTATGAGCTCTTTCACTGAAACATTTATATGTAAGGGAATGTAAAGACATCCTTTGCTCCATCTTTGGTGCTGATGAATCTACTTGTTTCCTCATTAGCTATAAAATTTTGGTTTTGATTTAGAAAAGAGAACTCCAAAAATCTGGTAGCAGAGAGTGTCCCTAAATAAGGCAGTCCTTGTTATGGCCTCATGAAGCCAGAGGCAGATGTACAGATTGGGCATCACGACTAGATTTCAGTGCAGCTCTGGTAAGTTTGGCCCTTGATCCTCATTGCATATTTTTATCAGCTTATCAACAACCGTTTAAACCTGATCATGGAAAACAAGAACAAAATTTACACCTTCTAAAGCAGATTAATGTATTAGAGGAACAACTATTTTAGTTGAAATATTTTAAGGCAATTGCAAAAACATGATACATGGTCAGGTAGTCAAGAAAACACATCTTTTACGTATCATATAGGTAGAAGTCAAAAGGCAATTCATAGGCTCAAACACATGGAACAAAATATTGCAGCAAGGGTTTTTGCTGCATCACCACTATAGCCCCTCATAAAAAAAATGACTCCTTAAAAAGTATATTTTCCTCACACTACAGCTTAATTTCATATTAAACATCCTTCTTACTTCCCTAAAGTCTTTCCTCAGGTTTGCCACAGCATTTTTAGGGTGCCAGAGCTGCACAGTGCTGACCAGGATTCCCACCAAGGGTCCCGGGAGCCCCAGGAGCCGGGGCCTGGCTGTTATCTAACAGGCCAGGAGACAGCAGAAAAGTGCTACCAAAATGAGAATGCCATCACCCTGCAGACGTTTGGATGATCAGACTCTTTATTAAGGTCTGAAGTGTGGTGTAAGAATTATTAGTAAAATAGTTCCTGCTGCCCTCCTGCAACAGATATTATCATAAAATTTTCATATCATGATAACGACTAGACCATCACTGCTGTTAACACTGGATTTCTGTCTACCCCTCGAGTGGATTTCCTTTCCTTCACCTCCATGAGTGTGGTGCAGAAGAGGTTGGTTTCCCTCTGGCTCCTCACCATCTGCTTCACTGATCTCTCTAAGCAGAGTTTTTCGTTCACCTCAGGATGGTGGGGCCATGCAGAAGGCCTCAGTGCCAGGACAGGGGTCACCTCCTGAAGTCATGAGCACCCAATGGGTTCCACGTTTTGGAGGTGGTCATGGGCTGGTGTGGAGCTGGGTGCCTCAGCACGGTGAAACCCCCCAAACCCGCCGCTCTCCAAACCTACCGGCTTCAGATAAGCCACGTTGCTCTGCCGGATGTCGTTGAGGAGCTGATCCCTCGGGGTGATTTCGACCAACGGGGGCGGCCTCCTCCGGGGAATTGGTTTGAGGGTTTTGATGACGTCCTTGAGGTTGGTTTTCTCTGCGGGCTCCACGTACTCGGGCACAGCAGGCTTGCGCTGCGTCTTCTTGAGCTTGATGACGCGGAAGGAGACGGGCTGTGTGGCGGGCGGCTGTGCGGGCGCCGGCGGCCCCGCGCTCTCCCTCCTCTTGCTCGGCGGCATGGTGGGGGGAGCGGGTGGCTTGGGCGCTGGTGGAGGCTCCTGTGGCATTGCCTGTGGCACGGGCCCCCCCAGCATCTCCCACATGCCCGGCGGCAGCCCCAGTCCGTTCTCCAGCATGGCTATGAGCTCCCGCTGCTCCTTCATCTGCTGCTGACGCTGCTCCTGCTGCCTCTTCTGCCGCTGCTTGTCCAGGTTCCTGCTCAGCAGGTTGGTGACCACCATGCGGGGCCCCGGCAGCTCAAAGTGGTAGCCCATCTTGAGCAGCGTGGGGTTGGCCTTCAGCAGCCGCGCGATCTCCATCTCAGCCTGGTGGCCCAGCAGGCTGCGCTGGTTGTGGAAGCGCAGCTCCGTGAGGCTCTCGTTGTACTGCAGGCACCTCATGATGGCCACGATGCCCTTGCCCGAGATGAAGTTGGAGTCAATGTTCAAAGTGGCGATGCTCCGGTTTTCGCGCAGCATGTTGGCCAGTGCAAAGGCAACGTTGTCGTCAGCGCCCACGTTGGCCAGACTGAACGTCTTGACATTCTTGTTCTTCTTCATGGCATTTACAAAGTCTATCAGCATTTCTTTGGGGATGTTTTCGATGTTGTTCAGGTTGACTTCTTTCACGTCCGGATTGTTTTTACGAACTTTCTCCAAACTCTCTTCTAAATTGGTTTGATTTCCTGAGGGTCTGGCACTCAACTTTATGAAGCTGGCATCCAGTGCCAACTTTTTGGGTATGTTTAATTTTGATACTTTCTTTTCATTTTCCTCTTGCTTTTCAGTGAGCTCCTCTGAGTCTGTACCTGACTCCTTACTTATCTGATCTCTGTGACTGTTTTCATTGGTGTCAGTCTCTGTTGTTTGCAATTCTTTCTCATCATGCTCTTCCCTCTCCTCCTCCTCCTCCTCCTCTTCCTCATATTCCTCTTCTCCTTCTTCTTCTTCTTCTTCTTCCTCCTCCTCTTCCTCTACCTCCTTATCACTTGCGTCTTTGCTCGTTTCTGCAGTCGGCGCTAGTGAGTTGGACACGTGCTCATTTTGGTAATGTCTCTCCTTCTCCACCTCAGGCCACCTCCTGCTCTCAGCGCTGTCGGTGTTGCCTGCATCTCCTCCTGCCTCTTCCGCAGCGTTTCTCTGGGGAAGGCAAAAACCCAGAGCTGACACAACTGTATATTTGCTTTACGTGAAAGTCAGACTCTTAGATACCTCTACATCCCAACACAAAGGAATATTTCACCTAAAGCACCATGTCGACGCTGCCCTGCAAAGTTGGCTTCTTTATTTTGTGTAAGTTTTGTTGTTTCCCTGAAGAGAGAGGAAGCTTGCTTTGTATTCCACAAGCACCAGGACTGGATGGGGCCCGTGTCCATGGCCTCAGAAAGACCGTGGAAGGGATGCTGGACTGCCAGTGAATAGTACTAGGGCTCTGAGTGCCTCTCTAGAGCATCACATTTAAGGAGAAATTGCTAAAGATGAAGCAAAATATGAGCCCAATTTGCATGTATGTCTGGAGTTGGTCTATCTGGGGAAGGTGGACATTTCTACAACGGGACAATTAGGCATTTTTGGCGGTGAACTCCCCATCGCTAAGAAATGCTGTGCTAATGCAGATCAAAACATTTTCCTGTAACTAGTTACATTAGGGCACTTTCATGGCCTGTGTTTCACAGAAAGTCAGATAAAATGGTCATAATACCACTCTTGCCCCTAGAGCAACGAGTTCTAATAGCTTTTTTTTTTTGTAAAATTCTAAGCATGACCTTAGCTGGAAGACATAAGGGCACTGGCATAATTTAAGAACAGCACTGAAAAAGGCTGAGCTCGTCCCTGGAGTTTGACACTTGGTCAGCAGTGAATGTTGCACGCCGTAAAAACATGGGCTTTTTTTTTAACAGTGTGACATTAATTTCCATTAATTATTACATTCCCTTTTTGCTTATTAAAGCAAATTTTCTAGGGAAAAGCGGACTAGCACTACTAAATCTGCAAAAAGTCAAGCAGATCTGAGCTGCTCTTGCTGAAGCAATTTTATGACAATCTCTCAGTCATTTGCTCTGGTGAAAGAAAACGAGGATTTACTTATGTGAGAAAAAATATAACAAAAGATTTAGAAAATAATCATAATAAAAGAATGCTGGTAACAGCCCGAGCTGGATCCTGTCACTACTGGTCTTTTAGGGAAGATTTAAGTTCATAGTTTGTGCTGTACGTAAGAACCAGAAATAGAGGTAGGAGATACCGTTAAAGCTATTTAACAGAAGCAAAATCTCTAGCACTGCACTCTCAAAATACAGCCTTCAGCAGACGCCTCATAGATATTTGTGGTTTTTTGCTCTTTACCTCTGAGGGCAGGAGGGTGACGGGAACTCTCTCGTCCTCGAGCATGCGCCGGGACGCCTTCTGCCAGTACAGGTAGTCGACGAGAGAACGGTGGTCGAAGCTCCCAGTCGGTGCTTTCTCGGTCTGGTCTTTCTGTATCATCCCGACGGGGACCTGGGGGTCCGGAGCCATCACTTCCATTTCACACTGTAGCTCCTTGAGCTCTTCGGGAGAGAGATTCGCCAGGATTTCGTCCTCGTCGATGTCCTCGGGACATACCTCCTCCTCAGAGTTTTGGCTGGGTTCAGACATGCTCTCCTTCCTCTACTATCAGTTTAAATCTAACGAAGAAGAACAATTTAAAAGCAGGTTTTCCCACTAGCAGCAGTTCACTCAGTTAAATCGACAACTTAATGTTTTGGTCATGAGCTGCGGCGGCTCCCGATCTCAGTGTGGGAGACGGGCAGGGAGACCAAGTCTATATTAAGCCGCACTTGGCTGGATAAAGAGAATTTATGGAGATGCTGCCATGCTCCATTTTCAGCAACTTGTCAGCTGTGCAAACTCCTCTGACATTTCAGTGCAGCTGGTGCGTCCCCATTGAGTAACGCAGAAGATGGCCCTTTTCTAGAGGATTCCCGTGGCCTCATGCCTTGCGTGCTTCGCCCTAGGCACGAACCACCTTGGGTCCATCCGGGGAAACCAACAGCACCTGCGACGCTTGTGGCGTGGAATATTATACTGCAAGAGGAGTCGGCACAAGGTCTGTGTATCGATGTCGCAAAATGGCTTTAACGGTGATTTTTGGGCAGCTCTGTTGACAGTGTGTGATTTTCCTCTGGTTTTATGGCCCTCAGTGAGTTAAAGCCTAGCTGAATACTGAAGGTGGGTTTGATTTGAGTTTATCTGTCCCACAGCTTATCGAGCTCCCCAAACGTGAGCTCTTGTTTAAGAAAAAACATCCAAGACTTGAAAAGGCAGGTAAAAAGTCATTACGAAGAGTGATCTGTGCTCAGTGCAAGAGACCCCTGGTGCGTGGTGGGGCCTGAAGGATGACAGGGGCTCTGAGAAGCACTACCTAGCATGAAGCAGGGCTTGCTGCACGATCACAGGGCAGCTCGTGCCACAAAGCTAGGACAGATGCCTCCTGCATTTGCTGTAACACTTCTCACCGCCTGCTCAATGGCCCCACCAGGCAGGGATCTCAATCACGGCAGGCTTCCAAGTACGTGTTGTCCCTGCTCCTTAGGTGCAAGGGAATATTTGATTCTTTTTTTCCCCCCTTCTATTTCACAGTGTGCTGAAGGTCTGAAGATGTCTCTGCCACCTCACGCTGCAGCTGACCCAGCAGTGCCTGGAGCCCTGATCAACGTGCTGCCCGGGAGCAACGTCGATACCTTCCGTCCATCTTGGCGATGGCAAACGGAGGCGAAACCAGCCCAAGGTCTGGGAGGGAGCAGGGTCCTTGGTAACGCTGTTTTTAGTGGAGATCCCTGTTGGGCTTGGTCGGTCATGCACGATCGGATTCTGCCTCCAGGGAGATAACACCAGGACAGCGACAAGGATTTGTGGGCATTTTGCTCCACGCCTATTTTTAGTATTTCAACCCCATATTAATGGGCCAGGGTCTTTGGGCTCCTCATCCTAGCAAAGGTCTTCAAGGACTCCAGATAAATGAATAGTTTCTACCTGAAGTCACTAATATGAGACTCTGTTAATAGATTCAGACTTGCATAAATACCTCTGGTTGGACTCTACCATGTACATGATCTGCATCCTCAACAGGTCATAGCTGGCACTTCATCTGAGATTCGTCTTTTTCCTACTTGTTATCTTTTTAAAGAATTAGTGAGTACAAACATACCCATTATTATGTATATTCACGTGCTCTATTCATAGAACTGATAGAACTATAGAAATTATTTTAAATTGTTTTTCTTTTTTAAGTCTCTGTTCTAGATTAAAAGGTCTTCTTTGCTTAAAATATTTGTATGCTGCTAAATTTACGAGACAAACCAGCAGGCTGCATCATTGACATTTGTGTTCATGGCTGTTTTGTAAAAGCTAAGTAGCATGAGCTGGTAATTTCTCTACTACAGCACAGCTTCAGTATGACACAGTTTGAACTGTTCATTTGATTAGGAAGATTTTGCTTTGTTATTTCAGATATTCTTTACAGAGGGTATCAAATCAAATCCTCACCTTGCAATTGTGAATGCATTTTCCATAGCAGAAAAAAATGCACATAATAGACCGTGAAACCAAGTTCCACCAAAAATTATGCTATATCCCTCATTGCAGTCTAAATAAATTAAGAGGGGAAAAAATTGAAAAAAAAAAAAAAGGGAAGGGAAAAAAAAGGAAAAAAAAAAAAAAAAAAAAGGCAAGTCAAAAGAGTAATGCCTCTTTTTGACCCTTCAATATTTCAAGGGACACCCTTATTTTATTTCATGCAGTAGCAAGCACAACAGCAGACCCACACATCAATCTGTCTGGTCTAGCAACTTTAACCCCCAGCAATTGCTGTCCATAATAGAGTCCATAAATGGTTTCCTGATGTTATCAAATAAATCAATGCTCTTCTGTGGCTGGTATGTTATTCTCCCAGATGATGCTGTTTGGGTCATCGAAACTGTCTGTTCAGTGGTTACGAATCGCTTGCTGATTTCTTGACAGTAAATAAAGCCCCTGGCCACCTTCTTATATTTCCGTGATCTTCAGCCAGGCCATCTTGGGCTGTGATCTTGTTAGAGCTCCTAAGTTAAGCAGGGTCAAACTCATGAAGTCCTTCGGGAGGGAAAATAGGGATACTGAGAAAACTACCAGGGCTTAAAAAGTCAGGTTTTCTTCTAAGTAGAGATATATCTCTTGTTCTATATTGCAATTAGGAAATACTACACTTCTGGGAGTGTTATCTTTTATGTCAGACGCAAAACGAAGGCCTGACCCGTGACACCTCTCCCAATTACACGGGTGCTAATCCCAGAGCATCACAAGGTGGGTATCACATTTTGCCTACTTTAGGTCTCCTCCATAAATTAGTTCGAGAACAGGATTCACTTCCTTTTCTAACACGTTGCTTAATGCAACTGGAAACGGGTGCACTGGAACCAGGCACGTTACGGGGACAAACGACACCCTCCATGCTGAACACACATGTGGCCAAATCCAAAGGTCTTCTCCAAGGAAAAACTCCCACCTTCTTCCCAGTAACCTTTGCAAGGATTTGTCTCAGAGTTTTCTAAAATAATCACTAATTCTGTCTTCTCTCTTCAGACAAAGTGGTTTGCATGGCCGGTCCTCCACCAGTTGTGGGGACCTTAGAGAAGTCAAAGCTCTCGTGTGGCATCCCCCGAGCGGCAGGAGCGATCACGGGGCTGCTCCGTGCGGGCCGGAGCCTGCGCCCGTCTTGGCACGGGAACGGGCAGACTGAGACCGCAGGCGCCGTCAGCGTCAAACTCAGCATTTATTTTAGCTCTCTGTTTTATTTTGTTTTGTTCATTATTCCTTGGTATCAGGCAGCCTTTTGAACATGGTCTCCAGATGGGAATAAAAACTCAGAAATTTGGACTGCCCGGGTCCAGCTGTGGTATCTGTACAAAATCATTCCTGTGGGTAGGAGCTCACCATTTACGCTAAGTAAGTACTTAACAAGTGCTAAATAAAAGCTCAACAGGAAAAAAGTCTTGCCTTTAATAGTGAAGAATTCACATTTGTTGCTGTTTCTAAGGTAAGCGCTTACGTGTGAATGAACCTTTCTATGAAAGCCGGCAGAGTCGAGAGCAGGGCTGCTTTTTTTAATTGATTTTTCTCATCTGTGCATTTCCTTCAAAAATTCCAACCCATCTGTCTTGAAGGCAAAAGGGCTGACAGGTTTTAAAGTCAAATATCAAGAGGGGTAGGCTCTGGTGTCACTTTGACTCTAAGCAGGCCATCAAAACATGCTTCAAGTGCCTAAAATGTGTTCTATTTTTAAGGTAATTGATGGGGCACAGGCTGATGCCAAATACTTCACAGCAGTATCTATAGCTTTCATTTTTTTTGCTGACAAAACCCACACATTTGTTTTCCTTTATTACCAATCCATGCCCTCTCCAAGTGCCAAGGCATTAGCTGGAATGAGTCCGAAAATGCGCCCATGTAACATAACCTTGCATCACTTTCCAGTTACTTGCAAACTTCATGGTACAGGCTAAAATTGACAAACAGTAGCATAGAGCAAGTATGTCCTGCAATCCCTGTAACGCAATAGAGGGATTATAAAGGGTCAGATGATGGTCCTCTTAATAATCATAACACTAAGTAACGATAGCAATCGGAGAGAGACACCCTGTGGGAAAACATATATATATTTATATATATATCACCCTGTCCCGCAGTTGCTAAATCACTGCATGTCACTGAGACAGTCTAGAGCTTTCCTGGTGCTCACACAGGAGCAAACGGGGCTGCACCACGACTCATCTGCATGAGACCCAGATGAGCCGGCTTGGGCCCCACAGGCTAAAGAACAGATCTGTTTTCTGTTTGTTCTTGTTTTTCTTTTCAATTGTCTTTTTAGAGAAGTCTAAGAACGCACTGGAGAGTGGAGAGAAAATGTTGGTCTGTGGCAAGGCAATGCAAAATAAGGCAGCAAGAAAAGGCACAGGGAAGTCAAAGGCATATGTCTTGCTTTATGTTAAGTATGGTTAAGATGGTTAACTGATGGGTTTTTAAACCATCTAAATGGCTTTAAACCATTTTTAAAATCCATGATTCTTTGAGCAGTCTGAACGTTGGTGGCTGCTGTGGGGGACCGAGGGCAGCAGACAAAGCCCCTGGTGCCCTGGGTAGTCCCGGACAGTCAGTGACCTCCTCAGAGCCAGACGGGCCCAACGTCTCGCCCCGGGGGTCGCGTGTTGGGGCCAGACGCGTTTGCGAGGAGCCTCCCCGCGCTCCCTTCCCGCCCCCGGCACCCCCGGCCTCTCGGGCGCGCGAGGCCTCTCGTGGCGGCGCTCACCACAGCGAACGGCTCTGCGGCGCCAGGAGAGCTCCCAGGCCTGATTCACCGTGCGGGCACAGGCAAAATGCCGACACAGTCCGTGCTACTTGTCTCCTACTGCCTTGAGATATTACGTACCCACCTCCTGTGTTTTACTGGACATCTGTAAAGCATTTCAAAATACCTGAACGTTTTCATTTCCACGGCTCATATTCCAAAATACAGAGATAAGAGCTTACAAATAAATGAAAACAAACCTGTGATGAGTGAAAATGGGTCTGTGGGAGACTTCAAACGATTCCTTTATTTTACAGGAAAGAGCTGATTCAAGACCCTCAGTAGGGAATACTGAACATGTCACCACCATTGCTCAGACCTAGCTGTGGACCAACCCGGCACTTTTCATTTGCCTTAGAGCAGAAGGGGCCACCTGGCTGGGCATGGGACAGGAACATTCAAGCCCCAAAATGTGGGTTTCCAACCTGAGCTGGAGCTTTCCAAAGGCAGGTTGCAGCATGGTTTCGATAGCAGTTTCACCCCTTGCCACCAAACAGGGGGTAAGGTAGTAGCTGTCAGCGGTGCTCTCAGCCGCCTCTCTGCTCTCTGGGTTTGCACGGCAGCGCTAGAAATAAATTTTAAAGTGTCCCCTTCCTTTGTCATCCAAATTCGCAGGTTCCCTCCAAACGCTGCAGGCCAGTACTAGTGAATCGGGACTGATACAGCACAAGGCTAAGGGCTCTTTGGGGAGTGACATTCATCATCATAACCCCGCAAATGAACAATCCCCTCCATGTTTGTGGCAAGCACTCCTAATTCGACGTGACAGACAGAAAATAATGAAGCCAAAGGATTAGTCACAAGTGAAAATTGCTTCCCTCTGGGAACCATCACTCGCAGCATTAAACATGGGGGTGCCTCTTTATAACACTCAAACCCAGCAAAACGTGGTGCTTCTGGAACGCGGCCGCTGGGTCTGACACAGGCAGGGCCTGTGCGCGGGGCTCGTCCTGCCCTCACCCTCCCCGGGGACAGGTGGCTGTGGCCCCGGCTCCAGTTACGGCCGCCCGGCCCCGCTGGCTGCAGGGTTTCCTTGCTCCGTGTCTCCTCGATGACACTCTAACGATTAAATGTAAATTGAGGCTCCTGCTCTTGCCTCAGAGACGGGCAGGAGACGCCCAGGGAGACGGGGCGCATCGCTCCGCGGCCAAGGGCTCGCTGAAGGATTTACGGCAGCTCCCTCCGTGCAGGAAGGGTTTGGAAAATAAAGCTGGATGGTCGGCAAAGGAGATCGTCTGGGGATCCGGTTACCCTCCTGCTGAGGCCTTGACATCCCTCCCTGTGCTCTGTCCTCCTGTGCTGCCAGCACCAACCCCTGCCTGCTCTGTCCCTTTTCCCAAGCAGGACGTGTTGCGCCATATCAGAAACAGATAATCTGACCTATTAAATTAATAGCCAATAATAACTTTTTTAAAACAAAATTTTATAAAAAATTAGAAGTTTTTCTATCTGCTTTACCCTGACGGTCTTCAATGTTTGTGTCAAGCCCTAGTAAAACTGAAGCCCTCAGCTTCTTGCTTTCGAAATGAATTAAATAGCTAGAAACCGCA